TATTATATGTATTGAGATTATCCTCAACTTACATCATTTGTTTGACGTAGTTGCATAATTTCATTATTAAATTTTTGATAATTTTGATTAAACTCATTTTCTTTTTTCTAAAATGAAAAATAAATAAAAACAATCAAATATAAATTATTATACATTATAATCTTCTTGTAATTGTGTATATTGTTGATTTAAATTTTCTAATTGTTTTTTAGTTTCACCTTCCTAAAATAAAACAATTTTTTGTTTTAAAATGAAATAGAAAAGAATCGTTTATACTCGACGTAATACAACAATATGTTCTTCACGTAATTGATTATAAGTATCAAGTAATTTATTAAATTTTTCATTTGAATTTGTTTTATCTAAAATAAATAAAATTTTTCATGTTTTTCTTTTTTCTTTTTTTTGAAAAGAATTTCAATATACTATCAAGTGCATGAATTTCTTCTATAGATTGTTGATTATTCAATTGATGACGAAGTTGTTCTTCGATTTGTAAGCGATGCTAAAAAAAAAGCATTATAAAAAAACAAAAAGAAAAATTTTTTTTTTGTAAAATTCAAATAATACATTTCTTTCAGCAGTTAATTCTGCATCTTTAATAGCAATAGTTCGATGTAAATCATCAGTTTCCGAACGATTTTGTTTTAACATTGCATCGTACTATATTTAAATCATATTAAATATATTAAATTTTATAATTGTTGTTTATTTTACTTGTAATACTTTTTGTTCAAGATCAGATATATCTTGTGAACTATAGAGAAAAATATCTTATGAAATATTGTTTAGATATTACAAATTGACGAACCGATTAAACAAAGTTTCATCTTCTAATAAATTATCACTTGGTGCAACGCTTTGTGTTGATTTAGTCTAAAAAATGAATTCTTTATAAATAACAACAAAATTCAATTCTCTATCAAAAGTAACATTCATTCTTCTTTTATTTAGATTTAGTAATATGTTCATTTTGAAAATAGAAATATGGGCAAGTAGTTTTTATTGAAATTATTCTGAACAAAAAAAACTATAGCAAACAAAATAGTTAGTTTTTCTTATTGTTTTTGAATAAGTATTTCAAGAATAGTTATAAAATAAAATTAGTCATTCGTTGGCTATAGGAATTTAAACAAATGAGAACTTCAAAAGTATAAAAAACCAAATCAAGGTGATTAGCATGACATTTTCTTAATTCACCTTCAGTATCGTTTCATTAATGGTATCATACATCTTTAGTTTATATATAATAATGCTCCAAAAATATTTGATTATCATCTAGATTATTTATAAACAACAATTGATTGCATAACGCCTTTTTTCCTTTCAATAGATTAAGATAACATTTGATAATCGCCAGTTTGAACAAGATATTTCTCGAAACTACAGGTGTACGTGATCAGAACTGAAGATTGAAGTTAAAAGTTCTATGATTTGAAATGAATTATCTCATAGATCCTGACAATTAAAAGAATATTGATGGGAGCTTACTACTAAAAAAATTGGTATTCGCCGACTGAATAACTAAAAACAAAGCGAGTGTATAAGGACTTTATAGATCTGATAGAAATAAATTCTCAAATAGTTTTTTCTAGTCCGGAATCAAGGTCGAGATTGAAATCAAGTCAGACTTATCGGGTGGATTAAAATGTGAAGCACGATTTTGCTTTTGGCTTTTATATACTGACTTGATATTTAGTCCTGTATACTAAGTATTACCACCGTTCAATGATTAAGTGTACAAGATTTAATTGAACTTTTGGCAAAGTTCATTGATTTTATCTATAAACTATTGTTTTGAATTTCCTTCCCAAACATGAATATATCGAAATTAATCATAAATCAATGAATCATATTTTCTTACATCATCCGATATATCAATAAGAAGATCTTCCATCATTTGTGACGAATCCGATGCTGATGTATTAACAATAGCAACAGGAGTTTGATAATTTGTTAAATCTTCTTTGAGATTGAAATTTGGTGGATTCTATCAAGAAAAAGAGTCGATGAGAAAATTGAAAAATAAATTTATATATATATATATATA